ATGTGAAGGGGGGTGAGACTGGTGTGAGAGAAGATGGGAGGGAGATGAGGGTCAGATAAGTAGTTTTATGAAAGTCATGATAAGACGCTCAGATGATTCTAAGTGAGATAGGGAACCATCTAAATGAGACTGATATGGTGTGTTAAAAAAAAAAAAAATCACCCTGGCCGTTAGGGAGAAGAACTACATGAGGCAAGAACAGAATGTAGACTAGAGGCTTTTAATAGTAATCCAGGCTATCAGACCAGAGTAAGTGAAGAAATGAGAAGGGGAGAGATTCTGGATGTGTTTTACAGATAAAGTTGGCAGGACTTGGTGACAGACTGAATGTAGGCCCTAAGGGAAGCGACATTAAGGGCAAGCCCAGGCCCGATCAGCTATTCGTGCCACTGCAGTGACGGCCTTAGGTCTGTGTGATTCCTCTTCTGTGTCTTTGCTGTACCCAGGGTTTAGCAGAGAAACTAAGGAAGAACAGGTTTACAGAAGAAAAATCAAAGTTCTGTCTACTCATATAACATTCCCAGATTGATGGGACTTTAAAAGTGCATTCATGGAATTTTTCTAAAATACTATTCAAATGACCATGCCAGAAGCATTCCAGACAGAAGCGTTTCCATGCTGTTTCAAGTAACGGACCTGAATCTCACCCCTCCTGTAACTTAACACCTATCCAAAGTCGTTGCTTGACAAAGCCTGGACAGGTTTTATGTCAGGGTTTCTCAGCACTGTTGGCATTTTAGATGGGGTAATTCTTTGAGGGGCTGTCTAGAGCATTGTAGGATGTTTAGCAGCATCCCTGGCCTACCAGATGCCAACAGCACCATCTCCCAGTTGTGGAAACCAAAACTGTCTCCAGGTATCACCAGATGTCCCTGGGAGGCAAAATCCTTCCCAGTTAAGAACTACTGGTTTATACTAAGCAAAACTTTCTAGCATGGTGCTGACAGTAACAAAAGTTTATTACCGTTTATAAACCCTTTTATGCTACCAGAACCAATGCACAAATTGGTTATTTTAAAAATCTGCTGAAGTTTGTAAACCATAAAAATAAATGCCTTGAATTTACCTTTAAGTGCTCAATAGTTATTTGATGTTGGGCCATGGTCTTGAGTATGAATCTACTGACTGGATTTCCAAGTTGTCATGGTATGTGATGCATTTCCTACCATTTTTAGTTTTAGGCATTTTTAAATGGGACAAAAATTGGATTCTGCTTTCATTCTTGCTTTTTATTGGTACATAAATTTGTCCACACTCTTAAGATTTCTCAGCTGTACTTCATTTAATCTCATTTTGGCTGGAGAGGGGTTGGGGTTGCAACTAGCTTTTATTAAGTGTTCTTTCTTAATACAGTCAACCTAGCTGTCAAATAAAACCAGTCTTTTACACTCACAGTTCAAGGACTGCTGAATATTTAATTAAATTACATAATTACCTATGTAATACAAACAGATTCGGTGACTACTGCCGCTGTTTGTAAGCATACAGAGTTCATCCGATGTGAGAGAAGCACACGGGGATATGAGAGAGCAGCCTCCTCCCCAGCCTTCAGTGCACCATGTCATTAAGTCAGTATTCGGTTCCAGCCAGTTTTATCAGGTGGCAATTTGCACCAAACACTATGTATTCTACTTGTGTTACTTCTTTTAATCCACAATCCTAAGATACAGATATGTTAATGAGAATACTAAAACATGGAGATGTGTCCTGCACTAGGTTACATAGCTAATAAATAAAATGGTCAGGATGAAATCCCCAGCATTCTAACACGTGCTTTACCATTTCATCACAAGTCCAAAGCCCGGGGTTGGGGGTGGGGGTGGTGGGGGTAGTAATTCTCTACAGATAAGTTCCAGTCTAGTCCACGATCACAAACTGTACCTTTGAAACTTGACCCATAAAGAAAGATCAGGGACTCTGAAGCATCAAGTCCATACATTTAGGACTAACCCCAATACTACCTGTATTAATTTCCTATTGCTCTGTTAACAAATTACTACAAACTTAGTGGCTTAAAACAACACAGTTTACGGTTCTGTAGGCTAGAAGTCTGACACAGGTCTCACTGGGCTAAAATCAAGATGTCAACAGGGCTGTGTTCTTTTCTGGAGGCTCTAGGGGAGAATCCATTTCCTTACCTTTTCCAGCTTCTGGAGGCCATCATAGTCTTCGGCTTGTGACTTAGCTTCCCCTCCATCTTCAAAGCCAGTTTACAACTGTATCTCCCTGACCAGTAACCATAGTCACATTCCTCTCTGACTCTGAACTTTTCTGCCTCCCTCTTGTACTTTTAAGTACACTGGGCCCACCTGGATAATGCAGGATAACCTTCCTACCTTAATAAAACAATGCTGAGAGCCTTGGGGCACAGCTCTGGACCAGTCCGTTCCTGTTCAGTTTATATTAACTATATCATTTTTCCCCCTGAAAAATGTGTAGCATTTTATAAGGAAATAAATCATGAGGTATTTCACTTTAAATTCTGAATCATTGGTGCCATCTATATAACACACTGAATTAGCACAAATTACATTTTAAAAGTCATTTATAAGAGGTATTGGCTAAAAATGGCTATAGGAAATTACTCCTTATTTTGTAATGTCAGTGAGATGGTCAAATAAATGTCAGTACAGTTATACAAAATCAATAGGTTTGGCACAAATAATTTTTTCAGATACAATGACGGCCTTATATACTTAATACTGTTAGAATTTAACCTCTGATATTTTTAATTCTGCAGTTTAGCTTCTGTAATAGATGTTTCCAATGACACTTTTCTCGGTAACTGTATTTCCTTTAGATTTTATGCAGTGTGTTATGCATGTTTTGCCCTTGTTCTTTATTTTTAAAAATGACGTATCTGAGGACTCACATTTGGTAGTAAAATACAAGTAGAATATCATATTACTCTTTGCTGAAGATCTAACAAATTCCAACAGGAAAGCAGTATAAAATTATTACTAAAAATCCAATGCTTAAAACTTGTCTTAGTTTGAATTTCCGAGAACAATACCAAGGACAGAGATGCAGGTCATTTCTTTGGGAAATAATCTCAGGAAACAGAATGAGGGAGTGGGGGGAGAGAGGGGGAATGAAAAATGAAGTGTATCTTACTGAGCTGGTTACTGTGGACAGCTGGTACTGAGCTCCTCTGAGGAACTATGTGCCTCAGAACTGTCCCTTTGAAGACAACTGGGGCCTTTATCCACCAGATTACTTCCTCTGTTGGTAACTGTATCTGTGTTTAATGGGCATTTTCACAAAGTCCTAAAATTTAAAAGTTTGATTTGTAGGAGAAATCCCTAACGACTGAATTGCTTATTAAAACTGTCCTCAAAGTCAATGTAAATGGATCAACTGTATAATTACAGATAATTAGATATATTGGAGTCCTTTAGTCTTGAATAGTTTTAGATATATATGATCAGTCTCACCAAACTCCACACAGAGGTTCTAACATAGCAGCTTGTATTTGTTACAGAAGGTATTTGATACTCAATACTATAATAACCAAATTCAAAACACTGAACAAAAAATAGTAATTTTCATGAAAGCTTTCTTTTTAGGACTCCTCCTGAATGTGCTATTTTAAATGACTAAAGGATGTTAAAGGGATTGTTTGGCTAGAACTATCATTCCCTCCTTTATGGGTCATGTTCATCCAGACTAGCCAGACAATGGCTTTATTTCTGACCTGTCTTCCAAGGTTGTTACCCTGTGTGTGGGATAGGCAATGAATTGTCCTTTGTTCCCTGAAATTTTTAAGTTTTTACCTAATATATACATTTATTGGAAAACACTGAATCGAAAGCAGTCACAGTGGTCACTGCCATTACTGCCTCAACTTAAGCTGCTCTAAGACTGCCACTTCCTTTAAAATTAACTACACTTGAATTCCAAAATAAGCTATGAATAAACCTTCATGATTTATAAAGGTGGTAAGTTCAACAATAAATTAAAAAGGCAGTATTAATAAACACCATTTAGTGACCATCTTATATGCTTGGCCCGTTGTTCAGTCACAAACCTGTGAGGTAGACAGAATCTTCTTACAGATACAGGAACTGGATGGCAAAGGCTAAGTACCTTGCTAGGCATCACAGAGCTAGTAAATGTTGGAATGGAGATTTGAAGCCTAGTAGGTCTCATTCCAACTGTTTCTCCACTAACATTAAAAAAACATTTGAGTATGTTCTAATGTTTCCATTTTTACTTTAAAAATTATCAAGACTTTAAGAAATCTAAACAGTGGGCGCCTGGGTGGCTCAGTTGGTTAAGCGACTGCCTTCGGCTCAGGTCATGATCCTGGAGTCCCTGGATCAAGTCCCGCATCGGGCTCCCTGCTCGGCAGGGAGTCTGCTTCTCCCTCTGACCCTCCCCCCTCTCGTGCTTTCTCTCTCATTCTCTCTCTCTCAAGTAAAGGAATAAAATCTTTAAAAAAAAAAAAGAAATCTAAACTGAAATTTTGTTGTCTTTGGTATAAAATATTTCAAAACTAGCATTTGAATAGTCATATAAAACATTACTGCAGGGGCACCTGGGTGGCTCAGTCGTTAAGCGCCTGCCTTTGGCTCAGGTCATGATCCCAGGGTCCTGGGATCGAGCCCCGCATCGGGCTCCGTGCTCAGCAGGAAGCCTGCTTCTCCCTCTCCCACTCCCCCTGCTTGTGTTCCCTCTCTCGCTGTCAAATAAATAAATAAAACCTTAAAAAAAAAAAAACCACCACTGCAGTGATTAATAAAATAAGATAAACAATAAACAAATTTGACATCCATTTTTAATTTCTTATTTTAGGTAAAAGGTTAATTATTTAAAACTTCAGGTTTCTGAACTTAAAGCAGCTCCCTGATCTGACAGAAAACAAGAAAAAGGTATCATTTACAGATAGATCAATCAAAAGACATTTAAAATAATCGACTGAGGAAGACCTAACTTGAAGAGTTGGAAGATTAAGGATACTTCTCTACATCTTTTAATTTATTTACTACTGTCTGTCACAGGAGATGAGTATGATGTATGTGCCATTTGTTTGGATGAATATGAAGACGGAGACAAGCTCAGAATCCTTCCTTGTTCCCATGGTATGAATAATTACACACTGCTTTGAATTTATGTATAATTTATATGTAGGCTCAATATTAGAGGAGACAAAAGAGTTACTAGCATACTGTGAGCCAGGTCTTGTAGTAATTAGTGGTGTCATTAAAGGATGGAGGTATTATTTATAAAAATTTACAAATTTTTTTGTCCCTACATGATACATATAGAAGAACATGAATAAAAAACATGGTAAGAAACTAAAAATGTAATGTTCTCAACCGCAGTATATTATCTAAAAGATGTGTATTTTGCTTCAACAGCTTACCACTGCAAGTGTGTAGACCCCTGGCTAACTAAAACCAAAAAAACCTGTCCCGTCTGCAAGCAAAAAGTTGTTCCTTCTCAAGGCGATTCAGACTCTGACACAGACAGTAGTCAAGAAGAAAATGAAGTGTCAGAACATACCCCTTTACTTAGACCTTTGGCTTCTGTCAGCACCCAGTCATTTGGGGCTTTGTCGGAATCCCGTTCACATCAGAACATGACAGAATCTTCAGACTATGAAGATGATGACAATGAAGATACCGACAGTAGTGATGCAGAAAACGAAATTAATGCACATAGTGTTGTGGTCCAACTGCAGCCTAATGGTGAACGGGATTACAACATAGCAAATACTGTTTGACCTTCAGAGGGTTATTTCCTAACAAATGTTTTGAGTATATAATTTGATTTTTTTGCTCCCTTCAGAGATTCCTGTAGAGATAACTTATTTTTTAGTATTCTACAGTTTAATCAGATTACTGAAACAGGTGTTTTTGATCTGGCATTTATCTGCAGGAGTGTACTTCATTTCACTGGTAACTAGTAATAGGCTGGTGCTGTAACTCAAGCATCAAATCAACTCTTCTTCTGGGATGAAATATAGCCAAAATATTTTTTAAAAATTCCTCAGTATAGCTTGCAATTAAGACCAAGATCACAGTATGCAAATGTTTCGTGTTTTACACACAAGGTCAGTGCTGTGGCCACGTAGCATGAGCTAAGCCAAATCCCATTTGCATAAAGTTTACCTAGAGTTGTTGAGTTGGAATATATTTGTTCTGGAATAGATGTGTCCCCTAAATTGCCATCACTCATGAGAGGTGACAATTTAGCATTTTTCCTTCTATCAGCACCACAAAGAAACTCAGCTTTTTCCTTTCTATTCCCAAGTAGTCTTATCCTGATTGATAGGAATGGTCTGTACTAGTGCAGATTTCATAGGGTTTTTTTTTTCCTCAAAGTTTTAAATACTATATAGTGTTATGTATGAATTTGATTCATCAGCTAAAGTAACATGTCTCTGGACTTAACTTACTGAATTTCAGTATCCTTAAGGGTTTTGTGTTATGATCAAAGCAAAAAGAAAATGCTGTATAAAAATACCAAACTTCAGCAACTGTTAATACTCAGATCATATACCTCTTAACAAAGAGCATCTTATGCTAATTAGCCCTGCTAAACTATGTATAGAGGAAATTGTTCAAGTATTGGATTTGAAAATAATTGCTTGTTTAACAGAACTAATGATGTATTTAAACAATGTATTATGAAGAGTTATATTATACATCATTGTAACTATGTAGAAAATATAGACTTATGTATAATCAAAATGCTAAGAGTTTTTATATGGCCTTGTATGAAGGGAGTTTGAATGTTAATAAACACGTTTTCCACTTTAAGAACTGGCAAAATATTTGTTCTGCTGTACTATTACCCAGATTAGCCTCATTTATAGGCACATATAGGTATATGCTGTAAATACTTTTATAGCACATATAGTGCTATAAAGGTATAATAATTAAGGTAATGTAGGTCATGTAAAACCACCACCTTAGAATTTTATACAAGGTAACTGACTGCTTACAACCAATTAGGTAATCCCCCAAAAGTTAAAACTGCAGCCAAAATCCCAACAATGATGTACATTGTGGTACCCTGGTGTAATTATGGTACATCCTTACAGCAGACTTTATATAGCCTTGAAAGAGTAAAGTTAATATCCAGATAGTGCTATACTGACTGGGAATTTTTAGTTAACAAAAGCATATTAGAGAATAGTTAAATACACGATGTATAGGAGTCTTCTGTTGTAAAAAGAGAAAAATTTATTTTTAAAAGAAATTTAACACTATTGAGGAAATTTTACTTTCTGAAAAAAAATCTTATAATCCATCAAAAAAAGGTATTTACACTTAGGAAAATAAAAGGTTGAATTCAGTATCCACTGTCTGATACCAGGTTGTCCCCTCCCCCAACCTCCTTATAAAAATCACACACAGGCCTGAGAAACAGGTCATCAGTTTACTATGGTAGGGAAGCCGACTCTGGAACTGGATGTACTTACACAGCCCTAACCTTTGCAAACCTGGGTGGTCATTTGTACAATTTCATTTAACCTAAGGTAGGGTATGAAGACAGAACACTCAGTACCTGCCACATAAATACACAGTAATAGCTTTTATAATTAAGGTAAATAATTAAACACATCATACCTAAACCCATTTTTTTAAAGGGCAAAGTTAAAGGTCACTATAACATGTATTAAATGTTGTATCTCCTCAGTCCTCAATCTATAAATCAGATCAAGGACTTGGGTTCCTTTAAATTTAAGTATTAGTTTTTCTGAGGCAAAATTGCCCCCCCTTTAAACTCCCAAACTGTTACTTTTAGTGTTAAAAAAAAAAAATCCCAACATATATGTGTGTGTATATATATGTCGACAACACTAATATTCAGTTGAAATCTTTTATAATTTCTTCATGGTGTAACTATACAGCTTTTTAAACAGAACATTAAATAAAATTAAAATCTAATTTCCATTAAAAAATACTTTCCTAATTTAAAACCTGATATGAAAGTAGTCACATGGAAACTTACCCCAGAGATGAATTTATCTTGATATTTTGCCTTCAGAAATACCTATGTAAAATACATGTATATATTATACACTATGTATTTATACTGTATGCAACATCCGTTCATTACCTCATTATTTGACATTTATTGGTGAGCATTTTCTCATGTTATTCAATGACTATTTATTCTCTGGACATACAATAATTCATTCAACCCATAATCCTCAAAATTAAATCTTGTAGTGTTCCAAGTTTAGGTATTTTAAGTAATGTGGTATGATCCCATTCTGGTATGCAAATGTGTTTAAGCCCCATTTCCTTAGGTTAAATTGCTAGAACTAAGTATAATACAGTTACCTACATATATTTTCATAAGTTTTTTGTGGGTATGGGGCCAATGGCTAGTTTCATTTAATTCATTAAACACTAGTGTTATAGTTGCCCTCTACCATCTTCTACTCCCCTATCCACACTCCCGAACACACACTTTTCACTTAAGAGGTTCCTTAAGGCCTTCACAAATTTGGTCACTGCTTTCTAATCAGTTACCCTAATAGTTCTTTACAGCTGAAGTGTGAATGTATATTACTGTAAAATCTCAAATCATCACAACCCAACCACCAAATTTTCATTTGACCAACCTTTTATTCGTAACTGGGTTCTTAACAGGTCAGGAAGTTGAAGTTTTTTTTTCAATTTCGAAGGTATGTCCAACTACCTACCAAAGTAGCCCCAAATTCCTTATCTTCCATACCTTTACATCCCTGTCCGTACTAATTCAGAACTAATGCCTGACAACACTGCCAGAAAAATTTGTTATGCACAGTATATTTTAATAAGGTGGAGATTCCCATTCCCTAACCCACTGTTTCTCAAAGGGTAGCACATAGACCACTTAAAGTGAATCAGACTGACCTGCTGATTATTTCTGAAGGGACTTCTGGAGCTTATGGAATCCCATCTTCTAGGGTGAAAATCCAGAGCCCAGAATCTGCATTACAACCAGCTCCCCAGTTTTGCTTAGACCGACCAACTTTTGAGCACTCCTGCTCCAAGCTTCTGCCTCACAGTTCATAAAGAGTATTAAACTAACATTTACTAAACTTGAATATACCCCAGAGACCTTATGACCTCTGGAATTAAACTTGACTCTTACATAGAGCTAATCGGTCACTCCAGAGAAACTGCAGGAATATCCTACTTTTCTTATATGCTGCCTAAGGAACATCTTCTCTTATGTGAGAGTCCCAGCTGGTTGACTTCAGCATGCCAATACAGCTTCCAAATCTAAAGTCACATGACAGTTCAACACAGAAGAATCCACAATGCAAAAACCCTTCTTGGTATTGGGCTCCTTATTGCTCACTAGATTTCACAGCTAGAGACCAGCTACAAGAGAAAATAATTTCTAGTGGATAAGTCAGTTTTCCTCTCACAAGCCCAAAGATGAGCCCAAAATGACTTTTAAAAGCCTTTTTAAAAAAAAACAGAAAAAGCCCATTAAAAAGAAATTCCCAGGCACTCATTTTATTTACAATACTACAGGATACGGAATAGGCCATGAGCTCAATTTTAAGATTGTATGCTTGCAACAGAGTCTGGCCTATTCTGTATAGGCCTATTCTGTATAGTCCAATGTGTCAAAAATCAACTGTGACAGTAAGACAATTTACATAAACAACAGGAGTCTAGAGTATTTGGTTGGAATAAATTTATTTCATCTGTCTGTAAACAAGGTGTTTAATAGTTATGGCATTTTTTTAAATGCATATTAAATCAGATGAGTTAGACTGTATCCCAGATGTAACAAAGTGCAGGGAAAGAAATGGACAAATCAGCAACAAGATTTGTTTTTAAATCTGTACATTATCCACAAGGCCCAAACAATAGAAGCAAATACTAGAATGTCCCTAAAGTAGTGCCATTCGAAAGAAACCTTTAATAGGTCAGTTAAAATCCATCTCACAATAGCAACAGTTCATTTTAACAATAGTATGGCACAGAACACATATGAAAAAAATTCATCACAAGACAGCCAAGTCCACAATAATGCAACTTCATATAAAAACTCAAGCTGCAAATAAAAATTGGTCCTATGAAGAACAAACTGGACACACTCCAGATGGTTATGTTGGGATACCTAATGTCCATAATGGCAGCCTTTTACAATTTTACTAAAGAGTAGAGCTGGTGTGCAAAGAATAAGACAGGAACACAAATCTGAGCTACTGCAATGATGGAATGTCCCTGGGGATTCGATCTGTATGGTTACTGTAAGGTCATGGGAGGAAGTGCCTTTTGCTCTCGTTTTGCAGTTGCTCTCTTCACATACCCTGTAAGACAGAAGGTCTGTCTCTACTCAAGTGCAACAATACTGAAAGCAAACTACTGCAGCTCTCAATAGCTCATCAACGAAAGGGCTTATTACTTGGTTAAAAAACCAGGCACTGCATAAAAGATGGAAGCAAACCAAATACCTATATGCAAAGGGAAAGGGGGGGAAAAGAGGAGTGAAGGGAAAGATGCATGCACTTTTTCCTCCCAACCATGCGCTACAAAAGGAAGACTAAATGAGCTAAGTAAATGCTCAAAGTGCTGAAAAGACATTGATCAAATTAGAGATTGTACAACCGGCACCTTGCTTAATATTAACTTATTTTAGTTATCAATATCCCATTAATTGCTAAGACAAAGTGATGCCCAACTTGGCATGCCCCCTCCCCCCAAATTTCAAGGTAATCATGCAAATCATTATTGTGCTGCAATTATGTTGCCAGATAAGGGTTGGTTACATACAGTGGTTAACATACAAATGATCCATTGGGCAAACAGGAATCATGACATTAGAAAATAGGTAAAGAAAAATTAGCTACCATCTATAGTCTGGTAGCACTGTGACTGTAATTGGGGTGGTGATGAAGACAGTTGCTAGGTAGATGGGGAGAGGCTGCTTACACATCAGACCTCCTCAGGTATAAAGCGAGTTCATATGCTTTCTTGTTAAGTGTGCCTCCGTGGACACCTTCCTTTCCCATGACTATAACCAATGCTGGAGTACACAGGGAAACAAAACAAAAGTGAACAGAATTATTTAAGGGGGGGAGGGCAGAAAGAAAGACACCTTTCCCCACCAACAGAGGGATACAAAGGAGACACAGGTTCATACCCCATCACCCTGCATTGCTAATAAAATTTCCAGAATTAAGACTCAAGCTTACAGCTAGGAAAGTTTAAGAGCAATTTTCCCCTAATACTTAACAGTCTGCCTAGCAGCTAGAACCCAGAGTCTCTCAAGTATTTTGCCATTGAGTATGCCTTCTTATTCAATCCGCCTCCATGGACCCCTTCTTTTCCCATTACAAAGACCAAGACTGAAAGAGAAAGAAGAAAAGTATTTCAAAAGAAGTGTTAATCAAGAAAGTCACATAAGTTTTAGCAGACAGAACCCCGATTAATAAGTTAACATTAAGTTAGTTTTCCGCAAACTGTCAAGCACTGAAGTCAACTAGGTCTCCAAAAGGAGAACTTTCAAACTAGAAATATGCTGAAAACACTATAAACTGCATCCTGGACGCCCAATCAGTGCAGCTGCAGCACGCCATAAAAATATCTTTACCCTAGCTAGGAAAAAAGCAGTATGATCGTTTATCTTCTAGGACAAAAAACTGGTTAGTATGACAAATTATTAGACTGGCCCCCAAAATATAAATTTACAAAACTTAGGTGATTATTTACAAAATTCTCCCCAACTTCAACAGGCTTGATTAAGTGCAAACTATTATGTCTTACCAGTGAGACTCAATGTGTCTATTAATTCCAGAGAA